TGTTACACAGCACAAAACGCATAAAAATCGGTACAGAGGCCCAGCGCACACACAGACACACACACAGACACTCACACACAATCACACACACAGACACACACACAGACAACCTCTCGTCAATATGCGTTTTTCGCATTGCATTGTTGCAAAAAAACGCATAAAAATACAATGCGACATTATTGAGATTATTCTGGTGGATCTTCGTAATTTCAGCAATGTCCCACCTTATTTGTCTTTTCCCCACACGATTTTTCGCTTAGTTACAGTTCGTTTTGCATGAACCGAAATAGCACAGTGGAAAATTGGTCCACAAATTGAAAGAACAACATCATTCGTGTTAATGATAGAAATCGAAAAATCTAGAAGACATTAGGCCCGAAGAAAAAACTGAGGGCAATACAAGGGGTAATAAGTATTTCGAGAAGTACTGAAAGAAGTGAAGGAGGTTTTTTCAACTTCATTTTACCTTCGAAAAAGAAGCACATATATGCCGGATAGGCGGGAGATGCTATCGGAGATGAGCAGCCAGAGATGACTTCCATAGCTGTGTCTGGCGTGTAGCAACATATCAGTAAAATCAAGAACAATTTATTTTGCAGCTTTTCCTAACTTTATTTCATTAAACTCGCCACGTACACTCGAAAACACAAAGCAAAATTAAGGCCCAAAATGTGATTAGGTAAGACGGAAACAAACCTAACAACGCTGTTGCAACAGAGAACAGCTAATTTGCTACACACCTGTTGACTGAGATCATATCGATCCTTCCAGCACCAACGAATTTTCAGGATATCGATCGTACCATGTGCCGATCTGATGCAACTTCCAACCCTTTTGCATCTGAAAATACAGTAGACAGTTTCAAAATTGGTTAAAAAACTGAGCATTTTTTAAATTTTTTGTACGTTCGACGTCCACGCACTAAAATAATTTCAAAAATTCAAAACTCTCGCTTTTCTTTATTTCGAAAAGTGCAAAAAATACGCACGGCAACTGCCATAATTCCCCGTAGGCAATACCCACAAATAAAGACTACAAAACTGCCTCCATATGCAATGCTCTTCCCAAAATCTGGTGTCTCTAAGAGCTCCCGTACGATTAGCTCCTAGCTAGTTGTCCAGGGCTGATGGTTAATGTGGAAGGCAGCTAATACGTGAATTAAAGGAACAAAAAAACGATGGAAACGATGTATATCTTCATAAAAACGAAGCAAGAAAAAATGCAAAGTAACAAAAGAAACAGCAATGCGCACCAGAACAGCCAGTGCAATCATGCGTTTTGTGCAATTCAGCCCATCGAGCGATTGCCTATTAATGATTTTCACTGCTTTGTACTTTAGTCTGTGCAAAAATAGTTCAAAATTGGAAAATAGTTAAAAATTTCACGCACCAGCGCATGAAAGCTGAATTCGAAGCTTTGAAGGGTGAATATCTTTCCGTGACTTCCGAGTTAACAGTTTACCAGCCAAAACTTTCACGAGGCCGTAGGTGATACTCCAAAGCGCAGGAACGCTGAATTCGAACTGGCAAAGTAGAGCGTGGGCAGGGAGTCAATCCCCTAAAATTTCAGCCTCCTAGACTCCGTGTTTCCCGAGATATTAACTTACCCGTAAAAAAATTTCACGCGGCCGTACGTGTTACCCGTGGGTATGGGAAGGCTGAATTTGAATGGGCAAGGTTGAGCTTGGGAAGTTGGTCATTACTCTAAAATTTCAGCCTCCTAAACTCTGTGGTTCCTGAGATATTAACTTATCCGTGAAAAACTTTCACGGGGCAGTACGCGTTACCCGCGGGTACGGGGAAGCTGAATTTAAATCTGCGGGGTCACACGTGGGTGGGGAGCGTTCCCCTAAATTTTCAGCCTCTTAGCTTCTGTGGTTCCCGAGTCGAAAGTTGCGGACAAGTTGT